AGGCAGAGGAAGCAGCAGCCTCCAATGACAATGCAGGGGTTGTCCACCACCTGCGCAGGCAGCTCGAAGCCCGAAGCCGGCCGGAACGTCCCAGGGCCTCCCTGCCGAGTAGACCTAACACAAGAGACAGGACTGAAGCAGCTCCATGTTCAAGCAATCCACTCACATCTTCTGCTTTGGGAGGTGACACAGTGATGAGCCAAGACCTCCAGAGCTGGAGACTTGGCTGTGTTCCCCGACTCTGCCCAGACTTGCCCGTGTGACCTTGGCTTCCTTACCGGCTCCTGAGGAGTGTGCTAGCCAACCGCAAGCAGTATTTAGGGCTCACAGTGCATGCTGAACACCAATAGGAAGTAGTGGGATTAATAAAACAACCACATAATTAATACAGTTAACACAGTTACTCTGAACAAGGTATAGGTGTGGTGAGCCAAAGGGAACGGGGGAGGCCAGTCTGACTGCTGTGCCTTGCCTGGCATCCTGGCTCTAACCTGAGGAGGGACAGGCGGCGGGGCACCAGACTGGTCTGTGCTGGGGGCTTACTCGTTACTGTGGTGGCTCAGGCACCATCTGTAGAGCGGCTCAAGACAGAGGTGTCCAGCCTGGGTCACCTGACAACACGAGGACCCAAACTCCCGCCAGCACTCCTAACAGCGGGATCCTGAGCCCAGCCATCTGTGCACAGCCCGAGCTGAGCGTGTGCAGCACAGGCATGGCAGCAGCCCCCCACTTATAAAGGGGGTCCGGCCAGTGGGACGCACCAGCTCACGATGCACACAGACCGGCTCCTCAAGCTGCCCTGTCTCTCAAGTTGTTCCTTATCTCAGGAAGGTGTGGGGTGTGTGCTCAACACCTGCGGGGTCACAGCCTCCTGTGGCTGCCGGTGTCCAATCTTCCGTCCTCCTCCAAGCCAGGCCCAGTGCAGAGAACCTGCCTGCAGACACTCAAGTGGGGAGATGACCCGGGCCCTGGCCAGTGCAGGACAGTCCCCAGGACCCCTCACTGGCCCAGCAGGGCCCAGGCCACTAGGCCCTCTAACTCCTGAGCAGCACATACGAGGTCCTAAGGACCACTGGGTCTCAGACCCAGCTCAGCCACTAACCCTGTGTGGCCTGGAGCAGACCTGTCCCTCCTTAGGCCTTATGGCCCACTTTCTCCAGCATGACCCCTGACAGCTGACCCGGATGACCTCTACTCTATCCCCAGCAACCAGACAGGTCTAGTCACCAGAGCACACAGAACTATTGAGGAAAACTGGAATTTGGCAGGATCTGGAAAGATTCAAAGAGTTGGTAGGTGCCTTTCTATGTATTCTATGACAGCAGAGTCTGGGCAGACACCCAGGCAGGATGGCAAGCGCAAGGACTCGTTCAGAAAGCACCTCAGGGGATTTCCAGCAACTGTCCTCTGCTGTCCTCCTGCACACGTACCCGTGCTACGCACACGTATGCGCACCCACATACCCCTGCTCCTGTCAGACAGCCAGTCCTCTGGGGCTGGCTGGAGCAGGGCAGGAGCGGTCCTTGGTTAGAGCGCCCTCATTCCCATGTGCTGCACAGGGTCCTTCTTGGTGTAGCTGACAGAGGGAGTTTTGTTTCTCCAAGTAGAAGCACTGCGTCCCCTCCAACTCCTGACCCCCACCCCACGTCGGGGCCTTGTTCTCCCCTTCCTCCTTTCACCCCCCCCCCGCATTTTTGCCAGCCCACTCTGCCCTACAACCCCCCTTCCTCTCTCCTCTGGTCTCAGCCTCCCTCCTCCACCTGTTCCATGGGGAAGGGCCCTCTGTGCTCTCCCCAGCCGGTGCAGCCTCTGCCTGCTTCTTCCTCTCCACAGGCCCGGAGGAGCCTCCCCATCGCAGTCCAGCAGACTCTCATGCGAAAGCAACCCTAGCGTACCCATTAAAGTCTCCACAACAACACGCGGAGCTCTGGTCTTTGCCCTGACTGCAGGGAGCGGTCGTGACCACACCCCGCTCTCAACTGCAGAGCTGCACAGGGAAAGGGGCAGAAACACTCCCACAGGCCCTCTGCCCCGCCTCGCTCCCCACACCAGCTCTGCACCTGCTCTCCTCAGGAGTGACTCCGCGCCTCATCCCGCACCTACCTCTAACTAGAAACTGCAGTCCTAAATCCAACAGGTCTGTATGTACCCTCTTGACGGTGCTCTAAGTCCTGCAGGCTCCCCACAACGCGGCCTCCCCCACCTCCTTGGCCTCAGACCCTTACTTCTCCCACAAGGGAGATCCCAGAGCTCCTCATTCCCCCCAGGCCCTTCCACCCGCTCTCCCCAGGCCCCTCCCGTTGTTTAGCAGGAATGCCAGTACTATTTCCAGTTGTCAAATCAAGACAACACTCTAAATATTCCTGTCTAATTTTGCACACAGCTCTTGTTTCAAGCAACAAAGATAATGACTCAGTGTTCATGCCTCTTAATGGAAAATTATCCTGCCAAATTTTGGCTTCCCAATCACACTCCTCCAAACTTCTCTTTGAGAAAGCAGAAGTGCTGTCCTTCCTGGTCTTTTTCCATAGGCATAAAGAGTCGGTCCCCAAGGACCTCTGACCAAGAAGAAATCCTGATACAGCCCCAAAGAAACAGAAATTCTAACAGGGACTCGGGATTTTTTTTCTGGCCTTGGGCTACAATCACTGTTCCATTTTTAAGTTATTCTACCAGCATATATTAATTATACAACGTGGAGAGTTTCTTTGCAATATTTCCATGCAGGCAGATAACATGCTTTGACTGTATTCACCCCTCTACTATTTTCTTACATCTTGCTCCTTTTTTGTAATGTTCTGGCAGCTTTCTGCAGGGCTGGGAACTGGTGCGTGAACCCGGACCCTGCACTGCTAGGCAGGCATTCTCCACCTGAGCGCGGGGCCCACACCCAGCCCAGTCTCACTCTTTACTCAAGTGGCCTAGACCAAAATCTTCCTGTTTATGCTAGCATATAGCTGGGGTGACAAATGTGCCCCCACTCTATCCAGCTACTGGTTGAGATGGGTCTCATGAACTTTTTTCCTAGGCTAGCTTCAAACCATGATCCTATCTTTGCCTCCCAAGTAGAAGCTGAGATTACAGGCATGAGTTCCCAGTACCTGCTTCTCCAGCAGCTTTTTGTTTTTGGTGCCAGTCCTGAGGCTTACAGTCAGGGCCTGGGAGCTCTCTCTGAGCTTTGTTGCTCAAGGCTAACATTCTACCACTCAAGCCACAGCTCTACTTTTGGCCTTTTACAAATAAGAGTTTTATGGAAGTCAGGCACTGGTGGCTCACACCTGTAATCCTAGCTACTCAGGAGACTGAGATCTGAGAATCATGGTTCAGAGCCAGCCCGGGCAGGAAAGTCTGTGAAACTTTTATCTCCAGGAAACCACCAGAAAACTGGAAGTGGCACTGTAGCTCAAGTGGTAGAGTGCTAGCCTTGAGCTGAAGAGCTGAGGGACAGCGCCCAGGCCCAGAGTTCA